ACAGAATTATCAGGTATTGATTCCAACCCTATGTAGGAACCTAAAGTGTTCTTAGGGAATAGGAGGCAGAATTATGTCCACGCAAAACAGCTCTCCTAGGAGTCCTAGTAACTCTGCCGTTTTACTTTGCAGAACTTTGACCGGTAATCTAACCTTCCTTGGCTACTCTGTAGAAGAGAAATAAGAGAATTCTAATAATTTCCTTAAGCTCCTGGGCTCAACCAGGATATCTCTTCATAATGCTTCTTCCACCTCTGAATTTTATTTTCCTTTTTTATTTGTGTTTTTAAGATCTTTACATGGAAGAGGGAAAACCTCAGTGGAATACTTGGCATTGACCCTAAATTAGTCTATCTAATTCTTCCTTCACGAGTAGTTTTCCTCTCTCCTGTTCCTCCCTCCAGGTCCTTGGTGTAAGATCAACAGGCCTATCCAGCTCTTAAGGCCCTCTGCCTATTTCTGGGGGTGGCACAAAGCTCTTCCTCCAAATCTAGATGCAAAGCCTCAGGTTTTTTGTGTTTTTTTTTAAGATTTTATTTATTTATTTGACAGAGAGAGCACAAGCAGGGGGAACAGCAGAGGGAGAGAGAGAAGCAGGCTCTCTGCCAAGCAGGGAGCCCGATGGAGGGCTCGATCCCAAGACCCTGGGACCATGACCTGAGCCGAAGGCAGATGCTTAACTGACTGAGCCACCCAGGCATCCCAAACCCTGAGGTGGTTTTAACTCCACTTTCTTCAGTCCCGAGGCTAGTTAGTGATACCACTCTGTAGCTCTCTGTTGTGTCTGGCTCCTCTGTCCCGTGCCTTCTATCCACAGTATTTGCTACCACTTGCTCACCAGAATAGGTTCTTAAACCAGTTTTTCCAAATTTCGACGTGTCCTATGGAATATAACTCTGTTCAGTTCACTCTGCTGCTCCTAGCTGCTCAGTACCTCCCTGCTGGATAGGGAGCGTGTTACAGGCTCCTCATCATGGCATTCAGAATTCACCAATCTTTTGCTCCAAAGTAGAATTAATGCTCTCCTCAAGCCAAACGTGAACTACCTGCCATTGCCTGCACCTTCCATGAGCCTGTCTGCATCTGCTTCTTCCATTTGAAATGTCTCACATCCTTCCTGTTGGTGTTCACTGGCACTTGTTATAAATTTACGGATTGTTCTTGCTCAGAATGAATTTGGCGTAATTAATGGTAATTAATAAATGGGTATTTCACAAGTTTGCCTGAAGAAATATAACCGGTGAATTTTTACTCGTAACCTTTCTACCTAAGGTGATAGTGCTGTTTAAAACATTTCTGGAGGTTAAGAATGAAGGGAAAGCTCTTCTCCTTATTCTTTCTTTGAAAATGAGAAAATTTACTTGTGAAACTTAATCAGTTTTTAGTATGGACTATTTAGGGCAAGCAGTGTATCCGTACTGAGTGTGTGGATGAGGGCGTGATAACACAACTCGACCAACTAAACCTTGATTTTTTTTTTTTTTTAACCAGGGACTAATGGGGCTGAGCAAATGACCCTAATTCAGATACCCCTCTCATAAGACATTTTCACCTGCCAAAATCCTATCCCTTTTTAAAGTTTCTGTTTTCTTTTTCAAGACCCCATGCTCTCTTTATCAAGAAACTTTTCCTGATACCCAACAGGAGGACTCCATTTGGGGGGATTCCTGTAGCCTCTATCCCATCCACACACTTTTATCCCTGTCACACCCCAGGTGCTATGCCGGGTGCTGGGGTCATCAAGATGCATAGAAATGATCCATGATTACAGGGCTTTTGCTGTCCGACAGAGGAGGGAAACTGTTCTGCTATACACCGTAGTACGGGTCCTTTATTAGACTCTCTTCCCTTGTGTAAAATACACATGCAGGGCCACGGAAGAGAAAAAGAATGAGGATGTAAGAATCTGAAGGTCAAGGAGTTCCTCCCAGGGCGGGAAACCTCTCCCCTAGGCCTTTCGGGGGTGAGGAGGCGCAGGAAGGGAAGAAGTCATGGTTATGTTGCCCCAAGAGGCTGGAGCACAAGGTATCTGGGAGAAGTGCAGGGGGTAGGAGATGAGATTGGAAGTGTAGTTTGGGGCCAGAAAGGACTGGGCTTAAACATCAGGCCAAGGCATTTGGACTTTACCTGCTATTTAAAGGAAAGACATAAGAGGTATTGCAAACATCAAAGTAAAATGTTGAGACCCGTGGTTTAGAAAAATAACGTTGGTACTATGAATGGTAGATTGGTAGGAAAGATGGAAGTTGGAGATGCAGATGAGGTTGACTTTCTGAATGGACCCAAAGGTACCTTGTATTTCTCTTAAGACATTTGAGGCATTATTTTCTGTAATTACAACTATTTGTGTATGTACCTTGACTATTAATAATGCTTCCTGAGGTTGTGCTTCAAGCAGGGTTTTGTGAAGGACCAAATGGGTTTAATAGCAATGACTCCTATCTGAAACACTCCTGAATCCTGAAAGTTTCATTTATAGCACAAACTACTCTGTAGCCTGCTTTCTCTAATTCTTTCCAGATGTTAAAGGAGATAAGGCATTAACAAGCATTAAAACACATTAACCATGTGTATATTTGAAATCATAATAGTCATTGTTCATTGGTACCATTTTGAGTTCATACCATGGTCTAGGTGCTATGCCAAGCATACATATTCCCTCATTTAATATTTTTAGCACGTGATATTAGACCCATGTTTTTATGGATGTGCTGAGGCTCGGCCAGGATCACATAGTGTGTAAGTTTTGATCCTTCCGTGACAGTAGTCTTGGTCTTTTTCTGTACCTTAAGCTTATTCCTTCACCAGAAAAAGAAGCTTCCTTGCTCAGTTACCTCTCCCTGGAAAGTTCTTCTCCCAGACATTTACAGAACTGACCTTTTCAGCTCTTAGCTTAAATGTTGCCTCCTCAAAGAAGCCTTCATCACCCATCCTATCTAATGCTGCTCATTTCTTTACTTTCTTCGCAGTATATTATCTGAAATCATTTACTTGTTTATTTTCTGTCCCCTTGGCTAGAGTATAAATTTCATGAGATTAAGTGTTTTGGACTTCTCACACACTTTTGATTTATATAATCAAAATTTTAGAACAGTTTCTACTACTTAATACACATTCAACAAATATTTAGTTCAGTGCTGGGTGAATGAATGAATCAATGTCTCCAGAGCCCCATGTTTGTTCTCCAGTCCCATCCTCTAGATGTTTCCTTGCTGCTGCCTAGCACACTGGAGAAGAATTGGCTGACCATACTACCTGTCAAACCATGTATCTGGGACCCAGACTGATTAACTTTTAAAAACCAAACATTTACTCATGAGAAAAACAACCCACAGGTCATTCTCTTTCTCATTGGTTAAGATAACTCCGTTACATCTAAGCTTGCAGTTCAGATAGAGTACCTACAACGTAGGATTAATTTAGGACAGAACTTGTCTGAGGAACTGTTTGTAGAACTTTACCTTTTCTTACTGCATTCCTGTTGGCCAGTTTTTGTAGGAGAATATTGGAATTGACATAAATGAGGCATTGTTCCTGGCTATTTTTTTTAAAGCACCAGACATACAGAAATTCATAGTCTTTCTAGTAAATTTGTGAATTCATATGATCTCCACATACAAAATAACCATCCTCGGAGGGTAAATTCTTTCATTCTTTCCTCGAGCTCCATTTTTCTTTTGTGGTTTCAGATTGGACTTTTTAGAAATGTGATTTCCCTTTGTCTTAGTGGAATTTGAGCTGACTTTGTCACTAGCATGTTAACCTCTTCTTTCCCCCACTCTCTTATATCTAAGAATAGCTTGCTGATTAACCCTAAGTTAGAGAAGGTGGCCTGCGAAGGAATTTTAAGTACATTTCTCGGTGTTCTGTGAAGTTACATGATCTTAGCTCAGTTAATTAACTTTGTTAAAATTGTATAAGGGGGTCCTTACGATTCGACTACAGAAGGTGCAAAACAATTTGAAAGGAAACTGCCCTTTACCTTGATCCCTACCTTCTCCAAAAACCATGGTGTAATGGCAATGAACAGAATAATGGTTGACGAGCAAAATTTTAGGGCATTCTAAATATCACTGGTTGGTTTAATAAAATTAATTAGCCTGCCACGGAGAAAATTTACTAGCGTGCTGGTTAATTTCACAATGTAAAGTCAGAGAAGGGAGGTGGGGTTGAGAGAACAAACCTTATTAGTTTTGAATAATTATTTAAAGATGTGGAGCTGCCTATTTCAAACACTTTGATTGCCAAATCCATTAAGGCTTTACAATCTCAATGTTTGTATCCCAGTATATATGGGAAGGAATCTCCCTAGGTGAAATCATAATCATATTAGTGAACAGCTAAATGACTTAAAGATACAGAACAACAAGTAGAATCCTAATAAAACCATGGGAATGAGAACTTGCCTTAAGACTAACTCATGGGAGGTTTCCATAATCTTAATTTGCCATTGATGCAATTATTGCTTTTTCTTGTCTTTTTAATCCAAACAAGATGTTTGCAGTGGCCATGGAAAGGTGCCTAAAATCACATGCCTGAATTCATTTAATTTGCCAACATTGTCTTTTTTTCTCTCTTCCTGGTAATGGGCAAGAGTCAGTTCTGGTACATTAGGTACTAAATCTCTTCAATTACCAGTCGGGAAGAAAGATATAAAATTGTGCTTCAAACCTACAAACTGATTTAGTTTTAAAGCACAAACCCTTCTCCTGTGGAGCCTAAATTAAACTGCAGAAAGGACACAGAACTTGAGGAATTAAACCAGGCAGGGCTAAGGCTCAGGCCAGTGATAGGAACCATTTTGGTTTCTTTCATCGGAGCCCCCCTGGCACAAAACGAAAGGGAGCAAGAACAGGCTGAAAGATACAACTTGTGTAAAGAAGTGCAGTGTTATATTGCCTGGAAGCTAGACGTGGGGTGTGGCTAGCTTATTAGTGTAGGGGAGTCTAATCAAACCTCTTATCTTTTTTTTTCCCTCTCTCTTTTTGGGTGCTTGGCAGCTATTTTCAATGTGGATGACTCTGTGGTTGATCTGGAGACTCTGGCAGCCTTATATGAAAATGTAAGTATCAAAGACATACAGAGGCAGTGTTTTCAGATTTTTATATCTTCACTAATAAAAAAAATGTTAAGGTCTAAAAGACGGTTATATGTGACTCCTTCTGCCCCCTCCCCCAATTGTTAAGCCATTCACGTTCTTTGGCCATGAGGATTTTGATATAGCATGGGAGAGATTAAGGTATAGTTTCTATAAACATACACTCAAATGAGAGCAAATGTGAGAAAAGCACTGGGTTCTGACCCCACTGTGGTCTCTTTGCACGCCTGCGTGGGAGGGTGGTTCAAGGTAGAGACCCTTTCTAGGCCGTGGAACCCAGCCCGGCGGCTTACTGTCAGAGTGAGTGAAGCTAAACTACCATCTTACTGTTGGTGTACACCAGTGCTTCCTCAGGAATGGGAATACTAATACCAGCTTGGATGATTACTTTCAGATCAGATGAGCTAATGACATTGAATGTGGGAAGTAGTATAAGATGGTAGGTGTGTGCTTTGGCTTTAGAGTCAGATAATTTTAGATTTGAGGTCCCACTCTACTGTTGACTGCTGAGTAACTTTGGACCAGTTAAATTCCTTAAGTCTATTTGATCATCAGTACAATGGGGATTATAAAGGGCTCTATCTGATTTTTGTATTAAACAGAATTCAATATAGGCAGCAGTAGCAATATATTTTGAAAATACACAGCACTGTACACATATGTGGTCTTTAAATTTAGGCTATATGTGGAATAACCAACAGAATTGACAAGCTCTCTTGAGAGGATGACACAGGAGAGTTAGAATTCCCATGGTTGTTAACATTTCTGATTCATTGACTGTTAGGATTTGAAAAGAGAGTGAACCAGATTCTCTTTATTGAAGTAGCAGTATTTCCCTGGGAGCTGCCTGGAGCTCTATGGTATTCTCCGGTCAGCAAGTTTAAAAAAAAAAAAAAAGATTCATTTCAATGCTACATCTCCTGGGACCTTAAGTCCCTTATAGAAAATTTCCAGAGTGCAATAATCCAACCTCATGGGATTGCTACTTCCCTACACATTTTCACATTCTTTATATATATCAGGAGCTGTTTAGTACAACTGGGTGGGAACTTCTCACGTTCCATCAGTAAAGCTTTTGTTAATAGACAGGAAGGTGCACAAATACCAGGCCATTGGGAGCTAACAGTACATTTGTGGAGTACCTGGAGGGCAGCGTGGTGTGATGAGAGAAAGAGATTCTGAGTCAGGCCCTTCATCCAATACTCAGTATGAGCCTTGGTAGGATCATCTGAAATACGAAGATACAATAATTGATATTGAAGGACTTTGTAAAAGGCAGAGCACCTTCTAGGTGCTTTTTGTTGTTCCTGTGAGCTCCGGACTGTGCATGGGGGCCGTACTCATTAGCTGGATACATTGAGAAAATGAGGTAACTAAATGCCAAAAGAAGCAGTGCAGATGAGTGTTTACCAAATTCAGAAAAAGAAAAGGTGGAGACTAGAAATGAAAAAGTCAGGAGCATACATAAGTTAGAGGGGCTGTTCTAAGGGTCAGGAAACAAATGCTAAGGACAGTGGATTGATAACCTGCTTACATGGGAAGAGACGGGGGCTTCAAAGGTGGCAATCCAACGTCCTGACTTCTGGATCCCCCTACAGTCTCTTGTTATGACCGTTTGCTTTAGCCAGTGGTTCTCCAATGTTAGCATGCGTCAGAATCTCCTGGAGGGCTTGTTGCCCCACACCCCCCGCCCCAGCTTCTTATGACCGGGATAGAGCCAATCATTTGCATTTCTAACTAGAAACAGGTGGGTGATGCCAATGCTGCTGGTGCAGAGACCACACTTGGAGACGCATTGCTTTAGACAGATTTTCATTGTTCATTTTTTGTGTGCTTTGTTTGATTCCTGTCTCAACCCAGAGAGCACAAGAGGATGAACTGGTTAAAATAAGGAAGTATTACGAGACATCCAAAGAAGAAGAATTGAAGTTGCTGGATAAACCTGAGCAGTAAGGACGCTTGAACACTTCTCCGTTAGGCCAAAAGAACAAGCACAATCTCTGTCTCCCTGCCTCCCCGCTCTGAGTAATCGCACCTAAACTGTGCAGTGAGCTAAGTCATAGCACCATCATCCCCGTGACTTCCTGCACGCAGCTGAATGACCTGGCTTCCAGGAAAGGCAGCCCGGGGATTTGTGCTGCTGGATCTAATATGTCTGAACCTCTCTCCCCACCCCTCATGATTCCCCTTTCTCGTTCTAGCAGCTTGTTAATTCCTCCTAGACTAAACATTCTAGCCAAAAGGGTAACTGAGGAAGGAAAGCATTGCTCTGTTTAAGGTTCTGCTGATGCAGTTAAAAAGATGATGGCAGACTCACAGAATTCAAATTGATTTTCCTAAATGTATCCAGTAAACGTAGCCTGAACTTGCCAGCTTTCTCCCAAATCCCTCCACCTGCTCTGCCCAATTGACAGGTGACCTTTTCATCCTTTTCACATCTGCTCATTTTTCTCTCCGTCTAGAGTTGTTTGCTCTATGGTTTGGGCTGTCGAGCCATGGCCTTTGAAAACCTAGACCTCTGATGAGGAACAGAGTGGCTCTTGCCTTGGCTGGGCTCTTGGGGTCTGCACACCACAGATAAGTGTATGGGACTCTGTAGCCCCTGGACCCCAACTACATTTTCATGGCCCAGGACTGAGGATGTGGAATGGGTCTACAGTGAAGAGAGGGATCCTTTGCCTGTCACCACCTTGAATGCTTCATTCATGTCCAATTCAGGCCACTCCTCTCAGTCTGGAGATGAGGCAGGGGATAGAAAACACAGCAGAAACTAAGAAGTCAGGTTTAGGGCAACAAGTGAGCCCTAGAGCATCTAAGTTTCCGTGGCTTGTATTGAAACTTTCATGGCTTGCCCTTGGGTCCACTAGAATGACCCACTCCCCTTGGATTGCCTGGACAAAATGACTGGGTGGGGGATTTCTAGGTTTACTCAGTTATTGGCAAGGCTTTGTGATAATTTTGGGAACCTTAGATGAATTGTTCTCACATGGAACAGAGGCCAGGAACCACTCTCTACCCCACCCCCACCCTGCCCCAAGTTAGTTCACGAAGGCTAGGAATCTTGTGAATCAGCGCAAAGGGGGTTCTGCTGCCCTTCTGGCCCATCAGTTTGAGCTACCCTCCCTACCAGTTCCTGCCCCTGACCAGTCCCGTGGTCCACTCCCAGGTCATGTTTCCTAATAATAAATTAATTCCCACTAAGGTGCTAACAACTGAACATGAAGTGACTCATCCTGGGATATTTAGACACCGACAAGGCCCTGGGGAGTATTTGAAGACTGTCTTAGTTAGCTTGGTGGCTATAACAAAGTACCCCAAGCAGGGTGACTTAGAAACAACAGAGATTTATCTCTCATAGTTCTAGAGATTGGAAGTCTGAGATTGGGGTGCCATTATGGTTTGGTCTTGGTGAGAACCCAAGTCTTCCAGGCAGACTGCCAACTTTTCTTGGTATCCTCACATGACAGAAGGCAAAGAGAAGGAAGCAAGCTCTTATGTCTCTTCTCCTAAGGGCACTAACTTCACTCATAAGGGCTCAACACTCATGACTTAATTCCCTCCCAAAGGCCCAGCCTCCTTAAACCATCACATTGGGGGTTAGGACTTCAACATACAAATTTTGGGGGAGCATAAACATTCAGTCCTTAACAGGGACAATAGGGCATATCAAGCATTTGGGCAGTGCTGGCTATGCTATACTGAGCAATGATCTCTCAGCCTAGAGCTCACATACCTTTCATGTAAGAGATCATAGAGTATTTTAGGCTTTGTTGGAAGTACGTAAACCATAGACAACATGTAAATAAATGGACATGACTGTGTATCAGTGGAATTTTATTTAGGGACACTGAAATTTGAATGTTATTTGTGTAGACATCATAAAATGTTATCTATTGATTCTTTTTCACCCATTTAAAAATACAAAAACCATTCTTAGTTGGTGGGCCATCCAGAAATGAGTGAGGGACTGAATTTGGCCCGTGGGCTATAATTTGCCACCTCCTTCTCCATGCCCTGGGAGTGGCTGACCCAGTGAAATGAAGAGTGGGTTTCTGTTACTGGAAGTGTTCCCATTTTCCTTTTGGGTTTATGTCTTTCTACTATTATTTTTGAAGACTGATTGCCAGGACATAGAATAATGGTGGCAGGTAATTAACAGATAAATTTATGATTCCTGCTTTCTCTACGGGATGACCTGGATAAGGGAGCATTTTCAAATTTTGAAAATCGTCATGGCGATGGCTTCCCAAAGATGCTAAGCTATCACTGACAGCAAAGGGGACTGTCGTGTTGTCCCAGTGAGGTGATGTGCTCAGGCTCAGTTGCTGGAGGGTGAGGTACACAGAGATTGGGGCTTCAAGCCTGAGTGCATTTCACCTTTGCCCTTGACCTCCTGCATAGTGCAGCATTTGTTTGATTTTAGCCAGAGTCCGATTTCCTGGCAACTTACTTGCCATCGGCTCCAAGTTAGTTGACTATAAGCATGTTTTACATACTGGAAAATATGAATCATTTATAGTTTCAACATTGCGATTTCCTAAGATCCCTGTGATGTCCAGTCCTATAAATCATAGCATGGAGAGGGTGGTCCCATCCCTCACCTCATCAGCTTTCTTGCAGCCCAGTGCCAGATTGAGAATGCCATTTCCCATAGAGGTGTCATCTACTCGGGCCCGGGCTGTCTGAGAGCCACCCCCTCCAAGGATGGCCCTCAACTCTTTGCATTCTGCCTTGGGATGGTGGTGAGGGGAGGGGAGGCTCTAGCGGGTTTCATTAGGCCAAACACATGCTTTTTGTAGCCTAGATTGAGGACACAACCTCATCTTAACTCAGAATTCCTATGGGTTTCCACTTTTATATCCCATCACATGGTTTTCATAATAATCAGAGTTACAGAACTTCAAAACAAAGGTATGTTTACTTTTATGGGCATTCCTTCCTTCATCTCAGTGTCATGGAGATGAAGTTGGCTGGCTCAGTCAGTACAGCAGGCGACTCTTGATCTCAGGTTCTTGAGTTCAAGCCCCACACTGGGCGTAGAGTTTACTTTAAAAAAAAAAAAAAAAAAGGAAGAGGAAAGAAAAGAAAAAAGATTATGACCAGAATGTAGGAAAATCTTTTTTTTTTTTTAAAGCTGGTAATTAGAATCTTATTAAAACCCAAGTCTCCCTTAAAACAAAGTAAAAGAGGCACGGAGTATAAGCTAAGGAAACTTCTTTGGGTATGGAAAGAAGGGTTCAGCTTTGCTCCTATGGAAAAGCACTCTTGGTGAGAGATTGCAAAATGTCAAAGTAATGATGTTATTGTGCTGACCGAGACTTTCAGAAATATCAGGTAATCATCACTTCAGCCCCAAAATGAATTTAGTAGCTGTTAGTGGATTCTCTCCTTCTCTAAATTCATGCCCAACTCTTTCTGCCCATTTTAGTTTGTGCCCCCTCTTCTGGTGGTTGGCCTGGAAAGTATGTAGCTCTTCCAACTTAATTTTGCAAAGGGCACCAGGGCCCAGTTGCTGACAGTGAGCTTCTGTGTGTAGGTTAGTATTCACCTTTAGCTTTAAAAATTTGTTTTACCATAGTTTTTAAGATTGATGTCCACTTAATGAGTGCCTGCTTTGTTCCACACACTGAGCTGTGAACTCTGTCTTCCTAGGTAAGCTGATGTGGAAAAGTAAACAAATATCTGTAGAAGAGGATCTCTATTATAGACTATTATCTAATTCAGGGAGCAAGAAATAGTAGTCGTCTCCCTTCAGGAAGAAATATTTTGTCATATCTCTGCAGACATTTGCCTCCAGCCTTCACTTAACTTTGCCTGTGTGAAATAGACCCTTAGAGAATGCTGCATGAGAAAGGGAGTTCATTATGTATTTATTTTCATATGCTAAAGGTAGTGCTTTTATTTGGGTTTAATCTCCTATTTGCATAGCAGGAGATAACTCGTTGTGGTTCAGTATAATTGCATTGACTTTCTGTTCCTAAAGTAACTTATACACCATACATTTATATGCCATCATAGAAACCCATGAAAATAATAAGAGAAATAAAAATGGCTTTGTTGTCAATAGTAGAACACAGACCCTTGGAGTTCCTTAAGTGTGCCAACATTTTATAATTGTTGAATTGATATTGCCAGGTAAGGAATGCTGCCATGGTGGATCTTTTTCAGCTGTCTTTTTTTTTCTCTTTCTGATTGTATATGAAGCTAGATGATTCATTATTCATTTCTGCAGATTTTTACATGAGTTAGCCCAGATCCCGAATTTTGCTGAACGAGCCCAGTGCATAATCTTCAGATCTGTCTTTTCGGAGAGTATCTCCTCCTTGCACCGAAAGGTAGAGATCGTCACAAGAGCTTCTAAGGTATGTTTGCTGTCTAATTTAAGAGGCTAGTTTTGCCTTAGGGTACAGGAGCAAGTAGGGAGTGGGAGAATCAACCGGAGTCCCTTTGTAGAAAACCTTTGGACTTACGATTGTGTGTTTTTTTAAGAATAGCTGTGATGATTATCCTAAGTGTGAGTATGTGTGCGCGTGCAGGTGAGTGAGGGAGAGAGAGAGAGTCAGATGCAGACTGATGGGGAGAAGGAGGAAGAAATGACACTTCTATAGATGTCTTCTTAGATATTCCAGATACCTTCTCATGTACATACTGGCCACTTAAAACCAACCGAACTAGTGTAGTTTGTCTGCTCCTCGACTGACTGGGTTGCAAGAGATTTTGCGTTAGACCCATGCACCTGATCAACTGAAATGTGTCTACATAGTGAAATAAAGATTCTGGAGACTTGATAAGTGAAATAAATGATTATGATAATGGGTGGCAGGCAAATACATTTTTGTTGGCTTTACTACACCAATTCTAATACTTGTTCTTTCTCACAATGACCCATGTCCTTAAGAACATGATAATCCTCTCCACACATACTGTAGTATTTAGTTCTTACCTGAAGGCATGACTCTTTACCTTCCAAAATATAAAAGATTTCAATAAAGAAAGTAAAAATACTTCCCAGGTATCATATACACCCTCTAATAACATCCTAAAGGGCAGAAAGAGAGGTTGGCCTAGAGCTGCATTTGCCTTTCCTTCTTTACCCTAAGATAAAAGAAAATAAAGTCAACTAAGACCCTAGAGAAGGGGGGGGAGGGGAGGAAGTTTCAATTTTAAAAATTTGCACTTTGAGGGAATAAGAGGGAAAATAAATGGGATAAGGATGTGAAGAAAAGCCTAAGCAGATTGAAATTTTTTAAGGTAATAGACATATCAGCTAATACTTAATAAACATAGCCTATGGCCTTGAAATACATTATTGTAGGGGCGCCTGGGTGGCTCAGTCGTTAAGCGGCTGCCTTCGGCTCAGGTCATGATCCCAGGATCCTGGGATCGAGCCCCACATCGGGCTCCCTGCTCTGCGGGAAGCCAGCTTCTCCCTCTCCCACTCCCCCTGCTTGTGTTCCTGCTCTCGCTATCTCTCTCTGTCAAATAAATAAATAAAATCTTTAAAAAAAAAAAAAAGAAATACATTATTGTAGTTCACCTCTGAGGAGTATACCCAGGGATAAAGAAGAATAGACTTGCTCTTAAACCTATCCTACATTTAACTGTACCGTTTATATAGATACATTGTCCAAAAACAGATCTTCAAATGATATTAAATGAAATCTTTCTGCTTAGAAGTCACCAGATGTAAAGTCTGACTATAGCAACTCTTTTGGCAACTCACAAATATTTTTAAGTTAGTATTTTAAAAAATAAAACTGGCTGGGGCACCTGGGTGGCTCAGTCGTTAAGCATCTGCCTTCGGCTCAGGTCATGATCCCAGGGTCCTGGGATCGAGTCCCACATCGGGCTCCCTGCTCAACGGGAAGCCTGCTTCTCCCTCTCCCACTCCCCCTGCTTGTGTTCCTGCTCTCGCTATCTCTCTCTGTCAAATAAATAAAATCTTTTAAAATAAATAAATAAATAAATAAAACTGGCTGAAGTAAAAATATAAATACTAATATTTAATCCACAATATTAAGACATACACAGTTCATAATTCATTGAAAGGATAGAAAATGTCTGATTAATGTATTTTTTTAAGACTCTTATGTCTTAATAAAGTGTATTTTCCATTTCACCAGCTGCCAATCCAGTTGGCACCATGCCACCAAACAGCCTGATGGGTACTCAGTAAATATTTGTTGTTGAATGAATATAGGTGCCTTTGAAGTTCATCTCCGTAATAATTGGTGTTTGCCGTCACAGGGCTTGCTGCACATGAAGAGTGTGAAGGATATTTTAGCTCTCATTCTGGCTTTTGGAAATTATATGAATGGAGGAAATAGGACTCGGGGACAAGCAGATGGATATAGCTTAGAAATTCTGCCCAAACTCAAGGACGTCAAAAGTCGGGTATTTATTTTTCATAACTAGTTTCCATGATTTGCCATTGTATTCCTTCTATACCTTTAATTAAAAAATTCTTGCTTGCTCCATTCATCTCCTTTCTCCCTCTAACAATACATTTTTTCTTTGCTTTCTTTTGATTTTTGAATAAAGATAGGTTTTTCATGTTTGCTCTTACTGAGATGACAAAATCCCCAATATTGGTTTGCTCTAAAAGAACACAGTTGGATGTTGAACTGTAATGAGGGAAGAAAATAGCACGCAGTATCAGAGCACAAGGCTTGGGAGTCTGTTTGAATTTAGTGTTGGCTACTTGTAATTTACTCATTCATGAGTAGGGAGCAATGTTGAATCACCAGTTGAGCTGAGCATTTGAATTATTCTTTTGCCCACAACAATTGGGCTGGGGGTCTACTGTCAAACTCTCTGAGCCTGATTATCATTTGGCTCCACACCCCTGCAGAGCTCCCTCTTTGGAAACAACCAGCCCATATCTAGGCGTCCCACGGGGAGCAGGGGGAGTGAAGGGAGGGGAAACACACAGGCAAATTAGAATTAGACCCATGTGAACAAGACACAAAGGCTGCCTTGTGGGAGGGCCTGCTTGCCCCTGGCCTCCTAGGGTCATAAAGTGGCATGGCGTTCCTTTTAAGCTGTCCTGATTGTTTTTCACGCCATTAAGAACACACATTTTTTTGAAAGGTGGGAAGGGAGGGATGGTTTTCTGTTCTAGTCCCTGGTTTCCTTTGGCACTCCCCCACTCTCTCCTGTCTTGGCTTTCTGCCAGAAAATAATGAGACAGTGTCTGTATTTGTTTGTTTGTTTTAGCCATTACCTCAGAGGTCTCATGGACTATCTGTTTGGCTTTTCTCCCCCCACAAAGAATAGCGGAGTATCATTTCTTTGTATAGATGCCATTTAAAAAGAAATGATGGGACAAAGAGGAGAGAGGAAAATCTTGCCAGTCACAAACAGAATCAGGACCAGGTATCACAAATGAAAAGTATTCGGGTCACAAACTAAGATTTCAGTACTCAACTATATAATATGGCAGTCTCATGTGAATGATTTTCATTTAAGCTTCTCTTTTAAACCTAGGATAATGGGATTAATCTGGTGGACTATGTCGTGAAATATTACCTGCGTTACTATGATCAGGTAAGAAATGGAATTATGTGGAAAACTACACTAATGGGGTTTCAACTCTTACACGTTGTTGGCATTCAGAAATTGGATGATGGATGGATGGATGGATTTCAAGTCCAACATAGAATTTGAGAGCTCTCCAGCCTCCTTGGTTTACAGATGGGAATGCTGAAGCCAAGAAAGTTTAGTTGACTCTTGTAAAGAGAAGCATTATTCATTGCCTCTCAATCTACTGCCTCTTAATTTGCTATATAATGCAGTTTTAGAGAGACCCTCGGTTGTCTGGGTGCCTTCTGACCAGATCGTGAGGGTCTCTGTGAAATCTATATCCATTCAGTAATTGGTTGTATTTGAAATTAGTTCTGGGCTGCAGACCAAAATTTAGGAAATTAAGAGGCAGTAATACCCAATACCTTATCAGTAGTGCTCATCTGTGAACAAGTCGAAGAAATGGAATTTGAAATCCACCCTCTCTGCTTCAATTACATTTGCAATGAGAAATAAAAATTTCGGTGGGAATCCACCTGAGCAGAAATTTCTATGTTTTATTCCTTCTCATTAAATTGAGAACAAGGAGTCCTAACTTTGCAAAGAAAGAGGTACTGTTATAAAGTGTTGGGAAATCTAGCAATCAATATGAAGGGGAAAAGTCTCAGGAAACTATTGTCAGGACTCCTGCGTAGCTGTCCACGCGAGCAGGGTTTTTCCTAGGCACCACGGGAAGAAAAGTAAAGGTTCCAGGGCCTTGTTTTCCAAAGGCCTATAATTCCCTCCAGAAGACAAGCAAAGCACCGATGAAGTCTACCATCTTGTCTCCTCCCCTTCTCATCTAACCCTTCTCAATGTATCTGCAATGAATCATCTCCCACCCCCCTCCTCAAACTTCTGTTTCTGCTGAGGACATTATCGTTTTGGTCATTCAGGCATGAACCTCTTTGGCTTCTCTCTATCCTTCAGCTAGATTGTTTCTTGTGTTTCTTCCCTGTTTTTCATCCCTATGCCCCACTTATCCAGACCTTAAGGTAACTCACCTGGAGTATTCCTGTTGCTTCCCAGCTGGTCTCCACACCTCTCATCCATCACTCCCTCTCCAGTCCATCCCACACCCGAGGCCCCACCAGTTTTTATAGTTCTGGCCATATTGCATCACTGTTTTATGCAAAAACAGAAATGGATCCCCATTTTCAAAAAGTGAATTAAACTCAAACCAATTTAATTCCAGTCTTTTACAACCATGCTTTTATGACCTTCCCCCTACACATACTCTGTGATCCACCTCAAGACCCAGTGTTTTCCAAACACACCCTGTGGTGTGTTTCTCACTGATGTGTTTTTTCATCTGATGTTCTTTCTAACTGGAACTATCTTTGTCACTAGCCTTTTTATAGATCTTTTGTTTTGTGTTATTAATACTCTCTTGAAATAATCAATTAAAAGACCTTTTGGGAAAAGCTCCCAGTAGCAACATATATATATTTGCAACATAATAGGTAACATGCTTTTCAGAATCAACATGGAAAGGACAACTGGTCTCCTTTCATTTAAAAAAAAAAAAAAAAGTGGCACAAGAGACTGCAGGTAATTTACCAAAACAACAGCAACAACAGCAGCAGCAACAACAAAAACAAATAGAAGGCATAAATTGCCAACTAGGTATATAAAGCTAGCAATATAAATGGATCAAATCTCTCTCAGGACTATCACGAATGGCTGACTGAGTTATTCTCTGTTTAAGATCTCTAGGTATAATGGGACCCGTATCTTGACTGCCCTTGACTCACCAAACTGTGTTCTATAAAGGATACCTTCAAAAAAATTCGCATGAAGGGGTCATGTGCTTGTCAAGCTGTCTCCCCAGGGTGCTGTGCCTATTTATAAGGGACACCCTTTCCTCATTCATGCAAATGCGCAGTATGGGTTAGCAAGACTTTGACCTTTCTAGATCAGAAGCCCTAGAAATATGTATACTCTTTCTAGGAAATTTTATCCTAAGGAAATAAATAAGGACATGTATCACTATTTTACTTAAAATCATTTGTAATAGCAAAGTATAGCAAAATTTTTGGTAGATGTCCAAAAGTAGAAACCAAGGTCAAATAAATTATGCTAACGTTCTGAAGTGGAATAATATACTGCCATGGAAAGTATATAGCAGAAAATTTAGTGACATTGAAAAATACTCTTGATCTGCTTTTATATTACAAACATGTGTTTAAAATAATATATAATCTAATTTCAAATATATAAATATACATAAACACACAGAAAAACCTGGAATATCAGATATATGTAAAAATGTTTGATTATCTCTGGGTGGTAGGACTGGAAGAGATTTTTACTTTCTTCTTTCAATTAGACATAAGGAGCCTGAGTCACCTTGTAAAAGGGAAAATAAATAAATAAATAAATAAATAAATAAATAAATAAATAAATAAAAAAAAATAAAAAGTAGTGCAGTCTTACGTGGCCCTTCTTCCATGAAGCCTTTGTTTACTTCCTCATCTTGTGCTCCTTTGAAGCCTGGGAGCACTTGGGTTGAACCTCTGTCGTGATACGCCTTATCCCACCTTGCATGTAGATAATCAGTGAGCAATTACCCGTTAGCTTGGCATTGCTCCTTGAGGTCCAGAACTCATTGTTGTCTGTTTTTTAGTGTCTGACAAATACTTACTAGGTTGAATCTACTGTAAATATCTACAAGAGTGCAGTGAGTGGTATCTGTAGATAACTAGGTGCGAAGAGGTGAGAGCTTTTTTCCGGTAGAATGGGGTGGGCTTCAGGTGATAGGTATATACCCAGAAGTTCTGACAGCAGGTACCAGTGTGACAGAAGAATTATCCCAAAGAATCTCGAGAGGTCACATTTCTAATCTAGGATTAGCATAAGCAGATGTATCTTGTAGTGCCTACCTCAACCAAGTCCAGTGCATTGTGTTGGAGGGCTGAAATTTGCCAATGAAACATGACTCTCGAAGAGAGCTGAGCGCAGTAGAATCGACTTCATCTAGGAAAAATCTCACAGTAAGAATAGCTTCAAGCCTGGGATGGCCCAATTTGGGAAAAATCAGGAATCAACATTTGCGTGGTGCTCTCCCGGTTTTCACAGTGCAAAAATTCATTTCACTCAGCAAGAGTATAGAATTATGTGATTTATTAAGCTATCCCCTCCCCATAGGAGCATAAGTGATGATTTTTGTGGTTAGTGGTGATGAGCAATTAGCTGAAGAAAGGTGACTCCTGTTCCAAACCTCCTTCCACGCATGCTGGTTTTTGGTCCAAGTCTAAGTCTGCAAAGTTTACAGAAATCCATCTAGAGCCATGTCTTTTGAATTCCAATTGAGCAGCTTTCTCAAGAGCTGCTACCAGGCTCATTTGCTCAGCAGCATTTTCTCATTTTCTAGCTTTAAAACAAAAAGGAAATCGAAGCCAGGACTGAATGTGATAAAGTTTTAGAAAAGAGTAGGAGATAATATACATGAGTTCTTCCAATGTAGGTTGCTGTGGAGTTCTGTGATAAGCATCTTAGATGGTGTTCCACCTTGGCGCTCAGACTCCAGTACTGCTTCCACTGTTTTGAAAGTAGTAAAATAATTATAGGGAGATAGAGGGAAAGTACACTGAGTGTGTAAAAGCTTTCAATAAAATGAGGAAAACCACCCTTCCTTAGCATCTCAAGTGAAGCTAAAGATCTTAAAGGAAGGGGACGGGTCCAGAGCATTCATGAAACCACAAGAAAGTAGGACAGTAAGGTAGATGTCTCCTGCTAAAGGTACACACTTTTCAGAATGACCTTTTATGCGTTCTATGCAAGGGTGCCGAGCAAAGTTTGATGTGCCAGATGTTGCGTGCTGTACCAAGAATAAGACACACTTCCTGCCTTCACAGTGTTTGTAGTCTAGCGGAGGAAACACATAAGCTAACTCGGCAATTTTGAAATGAATGTTGGTAAGTGCTGTGATAACAGTACGCACCAGGGGCTCTTGGAAACACCCGTGTGCTGGGGGGTTAGGGGCAATCTTTGAGGAAGTGATATCTGTCTCGAGACTTGAAGAACGATGTGAACAAGGAAGCATGAAGAGTTCGTGTAGAAGAGTTACAAAGGGACAGTTTTATAGACAAAAGTCCAGACGCAAGAGACTGTGGCCTGTTCTGTTCCTTTATGAACGTTTAGGGGAGGGACGTAGAGATAGGGGAAGATGGAAGAAGGCTGAGGGTGTAGACAGAGGCCAGATCATAAAGTGCCTTATAAAGCAGTTTCAGAGTTTGGAATGAGTCCTAATGGCAGTAGGAAAGATGGAATGTGAAGGAGGGCTGGCAAAGTAGCCTGTGTGGAGAGAGGAAGAACCGAAGACTGCCTGAGATATGCAAGATGCAGAGCTTATGTTAAACAACTCAGGGAGAAAGCAGGCTGGACTGGAAAAGATATTTGAGGCCCAGCTTATCTTTCAGTGTGCCCGAAGCTTGTGTCTCTCAAGTGATTTCCCAGCTTAGATCCTCTACTAGGCATAGTTGGGGAGCTTGTCCAAAACTATGGCCAACCATGCCCTCAGCAAGTGTCTACTAAGAGAAGCCAAACAACATTTGGAAAGTCTTTACAAATACATGAAGAATTTGCTGTCACACAGACACCCCTCTGGAGCTTTCAGCTGCAGTGGCCGGTAGGTAACAGCATAAGGGAGGGAGGGTGATTCTTCCATTGCAGTGCTGTCTTGTCCAGAACCTTCCGATTCCCACCCATTGGCACACCCCAAAGATGAGTTAGCTAATTGCTACCATGTGAAACTCCAACAGGGACTTGAAATTTAAGTACTTTCATGTGTTCCTCCTGTGCCTTTTTCCATGGGAGTAGGGTGCCCAAGATTGGGACATACCTGACAACTTTCTCTTTGATTCATGAGGCAAAAGAGAGCGAAACCCATGCCACAGCCAGAGCCAACCTCAGTGGCAGTAAGACCAAAGTGATATTGTAGAAGACACAAAAGCATTTCAGAGTAACCAGTCCAAATTTAGGAATAGCAGAAGAGAATTTCTCTGATTCTTATTTGCACATCCAATAAAAGATGCTTTGGAATTGCAATTGAAAGTGACAGTCGGGAAGTATAATGTACTTTTTTTAACCGTGTCTTTTAGGAAGCAGGAACAGAAAAGAGTATTTTCCCTCTGCCTGAACCACAAGATTTCTTTCTGGCTTCCCAAGTCAAGTTTGAAGACCTCATAAAAGATTTGAGAAAACTGAAGAGACAACTAGAAGGTAACAGGAACTGTTCTGTTATTATGATAATAGCTAAGCTTTTTTTTTTTTTTTTTAATGATTGAAGAGGATTTTTTATGTCTGGTTCACAGGATGGAATTGGTGCAGAGCTCAGCTATGGTAACACTGCAACCCTCATGAAACTTTCCATCTCTTAGGCTCTATTTGGAGGCACTGTATTTGCATATCCCTTTCTTTGATTAATGTTATTTTGTGCTTTTTATATCGACATCTTTTACATCTACATTTTCCAACATAGTCCTCTTAATAATAATAGCAGCAACCCTTCATTGAATGCTTACTGTTGTCTCATATAATTATTACAACAACCCTAATAAGCAGGAACTATACTAACTCCATTTTGCAGATGAGAAAAATGAGGTTTAGGGAAGTTAGGTTCACACAGCCCATGGGAGGCCCATTTACTGGGCTCTCATCAGGCCTATCTGATTAGAACTCATGCAGATTCTAAGCTAGTTGACTATGCTGCCTTATACGTATCCGACACATGCACACACATACTCACCCGCGCGCACACACCCCCAAATACTTGGTTTATGTATACGAGTCTAATAAAGATGGCAGGACCCATCGTAAGCAGTCTATTTTAGTTGAATTTACATTTTTAATTATTCACAACAAAATGCTGACAGCCCTTTCTGGCTTTTTGTAAAAGGTGAAACTATGTCTCTCTTGAGCAGGAATTTTCCTTTGGCGTTGCTCGAGTCCTGTGTTTTCACTGTGGAGACATCTCTTTATCCAAGTATATAAATACGTGCATTGGACCTTATGTAACTCCAATTGCAGGGCTGCACAGAGGATTTAGGGAGCGTGCTAATGTGGAAATGGAGCGCAGAGTGCCAAAAGGAGAGTTTGAGGAAATGAAGAGCTTGAACCAGGAATATTTTTACACTAAGACATAAAATAAACATTTTTAAAATGTTTATTGTGAAAGAGTGCTCAGAGACCCAAGTCTGAGACAGACAGAGCAGCCTGGAAAGGGAAGTGAAGTGGGACAGATCTCCTGGTGGCAGGGAGAGAGCCATTTAGTTTTTACTCTGGGCATAAAACTCACTTAAATAAGGAGAGGGGTTACAAGTGAATATTTCTACCTTGTAAATTATTTTTAAAGGAACATGTTGCCTTTCTTTTCCCCTCCCGTTGATGTGGTTAAGAGCATGCATTCAACCGAGTGGATGTTTCGTTTAGGAATGTGATATATGAACCTGCAGTTATTCTTTTCCCTCTCCTAAAACACCGCCAATTGTATCCTTGCCTAAGACGAGGGGCTTGATTCTTACTGTCATAAAACCGTGTGAGCCATCCCTGTGGCAGTTTTTCCTGGCGCTCTCCAGGGGCAGAATTAGCGCCCAGGCGGGCCCTCAGTCTGGCTGCAAGGTTCGCTGCAGCCAAGAAAAGTCATGCTGGTTCACGCTGCGGCCGCCCCTGAATACACATCCCCTCTGGTCTCCTGGCCCTTTGCCCTCCTGTGGAGTTTTTCGAGAAGAAACCTGATGTACGTGGGATCTTTCCTCTTCTCCTGCCTTCCTTCCTGGGGCTGCCTGTCTCGGGCATCCTGACTGGGCCACCTCCCTTTGACATCTGCAAGTGTTTGGCGATTCATAACCAAGGGATGACAAGAGTGAATTGGGAGGACAGTAGAGAGGCAGGTGTTCCCACAAAGGCTCCCCCCTTTGGTGCACCTTATTTTCTGAAAGGGGATCCCACGTGCCATTCCACATCTCTCGGTACTCCACTGACCCTTGTCCTTAGTCAATTTTAAGGAACTGAAAAAACTTCTGAAGCTGGAGGACCTCCCTTAAAATGAGGGAAAACCAAACATTGCCTCAATAGTTTTTTCTTCTTTGGATTGGACTACACCAAAAGATGTGAGGTACCACAAGGGAAGAGGGAGAAGTGGGACTCTGCCCCCTGCCCCCACATTGGATATTTAAACAAAAATGCCCTGCTAATCTTTAGAGATGCCAGTGTTTTTAACACATGAAAGGTACCTAGTAAATATTTAAAGAAAATACAGACTGTTGGTTCTCTAATGAATTTCTTTTTCTCCTAAATGCCATCTGGCAAGATGGCCAGAGTCGTGGCGGTCCGTTTCATCTCCTTTCCCATTCAGGTTCCACGTCCTTTTCCATAAGGCCTTGGTGTGAGCCTAGATTGAATGTTTAATTGAAGAGGACATAATTTTCACACATACAGCAAAGATTTGATGAGGCTTTGAGGTTTATTGTAGCCATTAAAATGTCGTGGCTGCTGGCAAAACCCCAGAAAATGTCTAAAGCTAAACCAGATGTGATTAGCAAATTTCAAGACATCTCAGGCCCCCTTTCTCCAGGCAGGCACAGCCCTTGAAAAGAAAACTGGTTTGAACCCCACCTTAGCAATAGGGTGTGAATTAAACAAGAGTTTGTTGGTTGTGCAAATATCACTGATAAAGACAGATGTGGCCAGTAAGCACCTTTCATAGCAACAAGACCTTTGCAGAGCACTTTTATGTAAGCAAACAGAACAGGTAGTTGATAATAGTATCAGCTACAGTTTATTGTGCGACTATTATCTATCAGATGTTTTACATAATCATCTCTTTTAATCTTTACAATGACCCTCTGAAGCTGATATTATCAGTCTCTCACAGGAGGAGGCAACTAAAGTTCATGGTGCTCACATAATTTGCCAAGTTCCAGGTGATGACCTAGCCACATTTTGAAGCTAGATAGGACTCTAAGGCATGTACTTGTGATGCATCCTGCCTGTGACCCAGAGGTCTCCATATCTGATCACAGATCAAAACAGAAGGTTAGGTATTCAAGGCATAAAGCCTCATGAAGTTACCAGGGACAGAAAGAGAGTTCCTGAGTGCACGCATATGCACATGCACACACCCTTAGAGCCACACGTGTAGACCCTCAGATCAGAGAGAGACAGGAAAGAATTTACTTCGGGCTGGGGATGGGGAAGGGAAGACATATGGGAGAGATGGGTCATAAAAATGAATAGACACATACACACGCAAAAGTGAACAAAGTTATTGTGTAGGGTTAAGAACTCGGGCTTTGGTATCAGATGATGTATTTTTTACCGGTTTGGTAGAAGTAAGGTCTTGTCAGGTAACAAAACCATAAAGAGGGTTAAATGAGACAATTAGAGTGCCTATGTCAGAGGAGGTAATGAATGCATGGCCCGTTAGTAAAGAAAACTTCAGCAAAGCTGATTAGGGGTAGTACCTTTTCCTGGAAAATGTACACCTTGTCGAATCAGGCCCATATTGCTGAGAGGCCTGCTGGATGAGTTTGTGGAGAATCTGATTCCCAGAGCACTTGTGCTCTCTTCTCTACCTTGTGGAGACAGAACCAAATTCTTGGTGCTTGGGAACATGTTCCGTATTTTGTTTACTGTTCTATATCCCTTAATGAGATAATTAACTCCCCTAATACCGTGATAGTAATAATTAGGAAAAAACAACTGATAGGAAGAGTTGCTCTCCTTCTTATTCGTTGACCTTGTTTGCTGGCCAGAACTCTCGAGGTATTCTTACCAACCCATATGTGGTAGGCAGAATAATGGCTCCCAAAAATGTCCAGACCCTAATCCCTGAAATATATTACCTTACATGGCAAAAGGGAACTTTGCCAACGTAGAGATGGGGAGATTATCTTGGACTATCCAAGTGGGTCTAATCTAATCACATGGATCTTTAAAATGAATCTTTAAAAACTGAGAATTTTCCTTGTCTGTGGCCAGGAGGAGATAGTACAGTAGAATGATCAGAGAGATGCAGTGTTGTGGGCTTTGCAGGTGGAGGAAGTGGGCAACAGACCAAGGAATGTGGGAAACCTCTAAAACTAGAAAAGGCAAGGAGCTGATTCTCCCCTGGAGCCCACAGCAGGGAATGCAGCCCTGTCAACACACCTTGATTTCAGCCCAACAAACCCCTGTTAGACTTCTAACACATAGAACTATGAGGTTATTACATTTGTGTTGTTTGAAGCCACTTAAGTCTGTGATGATTTGTTAGAGTAGCAATAAGAACAAATGTACTGTGCAATGTATCCTTCCTGATTGTATCAGTCAAGCCAGTGAGACACACACACACGCACACACACACATGCATACACACACACACCCCATTGCTGATGCCATAAGATGTACGATTTCTCAAGTAGGGGCACTCCCCAGTGTGGCATGGAATGTGAATTGGTGCTCTCTGACCAAGAGTCTATAGTCATATAAACCCAGAGCTGCTCTCTACTAAAATCATGTCCTAGAGATTCACGGTGCACATGAGCTTATTTAAAGGCTCTGGGAAGTCCTGAGGTGAAAAAAACAAAAATGGTTCAACTCTGTTCAAAGCATTTCTCAACTTCAAACCTCATACATTGGTTTTTCTTTAGTGCTCTTTCACTGAGTACTTAGTAATGTGTTGCAGAACATGCAGTCTGTGAGATACAGTTTAAGAAAGAATGTTGATATTACTATCACATTTTTAATATAAAGAATGCCGTTGTTGGTTCAATGGTCACTAGAGGGTAACAATAGGAGGAGCTGCAATGCACAATTATGACCTATGCCCTTTAGTACTGCTCTCCGTTATCCTGGCTACACTGTCCCCCACCCCGAATTTGTTCTCCATGGACACAAATAGAATGGGCCAAATCCTCTCTGATGTCTTGATGCCTGGAAGCCAAAAGGAATAAACTTAGTGTCATTCAAAATTACTCTGGCATCACCAACCCCAAATCCATATTGATTTGATATGACCCTCTGGTAGTATTTTATTATGAAGAGTTCACTGTGGCTATGAAAGTAGGAAAGCTGAATTAATTTTTGGTTGTTGGAAAATGAGACAGGAACTCTTCAGATAGCTGTTGAGAAGTCAGCATGTTCGGAAGAGTTGAAGAACAAAATTAAGTCACTCTTATCAGCTAACAGTAGTTACTCAGTAGCCCCTATCATTGAAAGTAGGCTATTTCATCAACTAGCTA